CCACCCACCAGCAAAAGGCTTCGAGATTTAATAACAAACGTTACAAAAAGTATAAAACCGAAGAGCGGGGCCAAGGCCGGTGGGGGCAGGGGACGCCCCCGGGGGAAGAGGAGGAGGGGGGCGGGGGAAGGAAGGCCTGCTGCCCCACTACTTGAGGTCCATGAAGCGGATGTCCATGATGAGGAGAAAGTTCTTGGGCAGGGGCCGAGGAGCTGGTGAGAGGACGGTGAAGACCTGTCGTTCCAGGTCAACGCCGGTGACAACGATGAAACCGGCCACGCTGGTCTCGGAGATGTTGTCGTCGGGGCTGTCTGCGGTGCTGACGCTGAGGAGGTGGTGTACCATGTCCCGCCCCGGCGTCACCGGCACCAGCTTCAGCTGGTTGTCCTCCTGTGACATGCCCAGGGGCAGGCAGGAGTCCGGGATGGTGGGAGCCCCCACCTTGTAGATCTTAACGTCAGAGAACTTGACGTCGAAGGCGTGAGGGTAGAAGCAGCCCCGGAAGCCGTAGAAATACTCGCGGATGCGGTCGTCTCGGCACTCCCGGCGGAAGTCCTTGGAGCGCTCCACCACCCCGCCGGACTTGGGGAGCAGGACGGTGCGCACAAAGTGGGGCAGGTCCCTCTTCAGCTCGTTGTAGAGCCGCTCCTGGTCCAGCACCACCACCACATCCACCTCAAAGGCGGAGGCAGCGTGCACCAGTGCCTGGTAGCCCGAGCCCTTCACCCAGCCGCAGGTGTTGATGACACAGCCGCTGACTGAGGCGCGACGGTTCACCTCACAGCGCTGGTTGAAGACGTCAGCCAGGCGCGATGTGATCTGCAGGGGGAGACGGGGCGAAGGTATCAGGGCAGGGAGAGCTTTCTGGGGGCACCCACCTCCCCAAACCTTAGCTGGCCCCCTCCAATGCCATCCCCACCCCCCTTCAATACCCCCAGGGCCTTGGTTCCCACAGCAGCACTACGCTGGTGCCGACTGGGCAAGAAGCTGGGGGGAGGGGACAGGCAGTCCCTGCACGGCACAGGAAGGGCAGAAGGCCGGCCAGCCAGGTCCTGTCCCACTCCTCGGGGACACGGCCACCCTCCGTACTGTCCCTAATACGCTCAGTTATTGACTGCTGCCACACAGGAGCAACACCTGGCTCCTGGGCAGCTACCTCTCTCCTCCCTGCCCTCCACTGATAGCTGCAAAGGGACAATTTGCCGGGCAGGAGGCCAAAGATGTTCCTAAAATGTGTTACGAGCACTTGAGGCTGCTCAACTACAGCAGGAGAGCTGCTTTCCTGTCCCGTGGACTGCCAGGACAGGGCTGCAGTGGCCTTCAGCCACACAGTGGCCTCTGTCCCAAACAGCAGCAGTGGGAGGACCCTGGGGATTCGCTTCAGCTTTTTGGATGTCTTCAGGTTTTTCCTGGGCTCCTTTCCACCTGGAGTTCCAAGCTGAGAAAACAGGCTGCGGGCAGCAGGGAGGAGGTCCCTGAAGGGGAGGGACACTGTGCAATGATGGCCACACGCTCTGGCTAATGACAGCTCCACAGACCATGCCCATGGCTGTGCACCGCTCCCCTCTCACCTAATGAACCCCATGGGCTGCGCTGGCCTGGTGTGACCTGTGGCTTTGGCTTCACTTGCTGCAGCCAGCCACGACTCAGCCTGCAAAGGGCCCGGCACAGGGCTCGTGGGCAGCAGCAAGCTCATTTGTGGTGCCTCAGCTCCTCCTCTCCAGGATGAAGAGCTACCCTCCTCAGGGGGCTCCTCCAGCCCTGCCACTATCTCCGTCACACCCCTCCCCTCACCACCCCGGCCCTCCCTGCATCTCTGTTGAGCTCCAGTGCCCAGAAGTGAGCACAGTGCTCAGGACCGGGACATGCTGCAGTCTTACACAGTGGCAAAAGCCACGGGACATTCCCCGGTGGGCAGGGAGCTCTGGAGCCCAGCTCCAAACCGGGCCCATCCCCAGGGCAAGTCACCCACTGGGGCTCACTACACTCACCTTGTTGTAGAGCTTGATGTTGGTGCCAGGTGTGGTGGAGCCGAAGTGGTAGACGAGCGGGGCCTGGAGGGAGAAGCCCTCCTCCACGTCGGCTGGCCGCTCGATGTAGAGAGCGCCCATGGTGCCGGGGATGGAGACAGAGCCTTGGCCCACGTCCAGCTCCACGAAGGTGGGCCGGCGGCCCAGCCGCACTGCATAGTTCAGCAGCAGGCGGCACACGGTCGACTTACCCACATCGGTGGGTCCCACCACCATGACACGGGGCCCGCGCTCGTCCTCCCGCTCCGCCTGCCGCCGCATCTGCTCCAGCGCCGTGTGGGTGTTGAGGTAGAGCAGCATGGGGGTGTCCTTGGAGATGTAGGCCACCTCCGTGCGGCCGCTGAGCTGCACGGTGCAGCCGTGCCAGGTGAAGACAGCCACCTTGGCGCCGGCATCGAAGCTGAACTTCTTGTTGCGGGTGAGCTCGGTGCCGAAGACCTCAGCCATGCCAGTGAGCAGCTCCAGCTGCACCGTCTGCGAGGCCTCCACCTCGAACCGCAGCTCCGTCTCCCGCTCCAGCTCGAACTTGGCCACCTGTTTCTTTTCCTCACCGCCGTCGTCCGCCATGACGCGTCGCCAGGCCTCGCCTGCCCGCTGCGGGAAGGGCGGCGGGTGGGCGGTGGAGCCGGGCCCAGCCG